AACTTCAAGGAGCAGTCATAAGTCTTCTTGTTGAGCACTGTTGTAACTTCAAATTTATTCAGAGGCACAATCTGAAGGTGATATTTGAAACTGAAAAGTGGCCATTGACAACTCTATGTACTCTAAATGTTAACCCCATTAAAGCCCTCTAAATTGGTGGCCTTCACATCTTCAGATGTTACTTGTTATCCTCACAACTGTCTACAGGTAATCATGGGTTATTTTCCATTTTTCATACCCTTGGTACAACCTCAGCTTTCTTTATCTCAGCCTGCCTTGAAAAAGTATTTCGCAAACTAGATGGGCAAAAGATGGAATAAAAATCAGTGGCGCCTATTAAAATTACTTAAGATTTGCAAATGATGTTGTTCTCTTCTCACAAGACCCAGAAGAGCTACAAAGACACCTTCTGAAATTGAACGGTGTGTTAAATGTGGTTGGTAGACGTTTGGCAAGCTAAGCATAATTTTCAAGAACACCCTCCCCCTATTCTTGTAGAGAGAAGTTTTCAATCAGTGTGTACTACCTGTTCTACTCTATTCCAGTCGAACACTAACTTCACAATTGATGTAAAAACTATGATTGGTGCAAAGAGCCATGGAAAGATACATGATGGGCATTACAAAACAAGACAGAAAGACCTGCACATGGATTAAAGAACAAACGAAAAGTATATGGTATCATCAAGAGAGCAAAAGAAATGAAATCAAAATAGCAAGAAGCACTGTTGACAGGTGGTCCACATTGCAGCACTGGTCAAAAGAACCCAACAGAGATTATACTACCTGAGACTTTTCAGGAAACAACTGAATGAAACACTGCTGGTGAACTTCTACTGATAACACCATAGAGAGTATTTTAACTTACTGCACCTGTGTTATGGTTTGCCAGTGGCACAGTGGCAGATAGGACAGTGCTCCAGAAGGTTAACGTCATTGCCCAGAGGCTCATTGGTTGCCCTCTTCCCTCTTTGGAAGAGCTTTATAGCCCCCCCCCCCCGCCTTAAGAAAGTTTAAAACATTCTTAAAGATCCATCTCATCCTTGGCGCCCTCTTTTGAATTATAAACATCTGGCAGATGGTACAGGATAATAAAATCAAGGACAAATAGCCTGAAAAACAGCTTCTATCCCAGAGCAGTAATTATATTGAATTCTAACTGTATAGTGTAATACTAATGCAGTATCAGGGGTTTTCAATACAATTGTATAGAATGTGAAATGTGGTTTTTTTTGTTTTTTTATAGTTTTCTTATACATGATGTACACTGAAGACGGCATTTAATTTCATTGTACGAGGTGCAATGACAATAAACTAAACTAAACCAAGGCAGTTTAGAAGGGATCCCACTTGATTAAAAGCATCCATGAAAGAGAGGTAAAACAAGATGGATAGATGAGATCAGCAAGTATTGCCTGCCCAATTGGCAAAAGAGAGCTCAGGATCATATGGGTTGGGAAGATGAGGAAGAGGTCTTCATCCTGCAGTGGATAGACAATGGCTGAGATGATGATAGCGATAACACTTACATACCGCTTCACAGTGCTTTACAGCCCTTTCTAACAGTCAGCCTATTGCTCCCAGGAATCTGGGTCCTCATCCTTGAGAGATGACAAATAATCTTCGCTTGGGAATGAGATTTTATTGGTTTTCCCCCCTTCCTTTTCTGCATTAAAAGAATTTAATTTGCAAGATGGAGAAGAACTAGGGAAGCTTCATCTGAGGCGCCCGAACACCAGCAGACCGGCGGCTTCCCAAGACCAGCCTGGGGCGGGGGGATATTCTGAGAGTGCAGAGGTCGGTGCTGCCCCCCCCCCCTCCACCTACCTGAGCCCGGCTTGCCTCCAGTAAGACATGGCGATGGCTGCTTGCTCGAGGAAATCGCTCGCTCGAAGCTGCAAGGTCGTCCAGGCAAATAGCGGAAGGCGGCTTCGCCGGAATCTAACCCGGAAGCGCTGAAAGACCCGGAAATGAAAACCAAGTTGACCAATCAAAACTCACGTCCTATCGATGCCCCGTACGACGGAGGGCTTTATTTCCCTATCCGTCTCGTTCTATTTAGGGGGCGGAGTTAATCCGTCCGAGATAACCAATCAAAGCTCGGTCTTCTACGATACGGCTGTTATCATTGGTTGTGTGGTTTGATGAGCATGAAACCTGTCCTCTTTGAGTCTGGAGGAATCTCAGAAAGTCACCCACGGGGTGTAACACATTGCGCCGCAGTTTTTGGAGATTCTGAGTAGTTGGGGAGGCGGCTTCGTTTCCTATTGATTTTTTTTTCTATCTAGCCTTTATTACGTTTAATAGATAATGAAAAATAAAATTATTTTTAAAAATGAAGGATGGCGAATGTGTCCTAATAGTCCTCCGTCCTTCTATTTCTTTCGCAGCACCAGCACTGTGGGAGAATTGGGATGAGATTGTCCTTGGTGCCTATGGCGGATTGGTTTGCATGCAGCCGTTTCCTTAACCGACTAATGTTAGCCGGAGTGGCCCAGCTACCCAGCCAAACCCAAGATTGGGTTCCATTGTAGTATTTTCCTCACTGCTGATGGGAAAACTGGGACTGCATTATGTAACTAATTGTGCAGTGCTGATTAGCACATTTCCCGTTTTTGTATGCAAGTAGTCCTCCACTTACAACAGTTCGTTTAGTGACCAAAGTTACAACGGCATTGAAAAGTGACATGACCATTTTTTACATGACCATTGCAGCATCCCCATGGTCATGTGATTTAGATTTGAATGCTTGGTAACTGGTTCATATTTAATTATGATGGTTGCAGTGTCCAGGGACATTCACTTAACAACTGTGTTACTAATTTAACAACTGCAGTGATTCACTTAATAACTGGCAAGAAAAGTCACAATGGGCCAAAACTTGCTCAACAAATTTCTCACTTAGCAACATAAATTTTGGGGTCAATTGTGGTCGTAAGTTGAGAACTATCTATAATTCTCACTGACCTAAACCCAGGGCTCTCAGCTTGTTTTGGTAGACCAGTGATCCCTGCATTATTATTTTTTAAAAAAATCTCCAATCTCCACTGCTTTTCATTTCAGTGGAGCTGCCTTTTTTCCTATGACAATAGAATAATTATATGGGATCCTAGTAGATATATCCATACCTGAACATTCTGACTTATAGCAGTGTTCCCCAAACCTGGGTAAATTATTCAAAATTGGGTAAAAGTGTTTTTTTCCCTCCCCTTTGGAAAACAGTACAGGAGCCCATTATCCACTCGTAACAGGGAAAATTGACTTTTTAAAATTGCCATTTAAATAATAAAGTGTTTTGCCTACATTGTGTAAAAAAAGCTTTCTGACAATTGGTTTTGGATAGTAAAAAAACTTGGGAAGCATTGATTTAGATTGACAAGGTATTCTGTCAAACCTCCTTTTTGTGTAGCAGAAGATACTTCTCCAAAGTTACTGTATCCTCCAGATTTAAGAAAATCATACACTTGTTGAATTATAAAGCTGGATGGAACCAGAAAACCTCTGCAGGATTCAGGAAAATTAAATTAACAAAAAGAGGTGGGACATCCAGTCACTCCAGATGTGGAAAATGCACAATTGTAAACTGTTCCACTATTGTCCAGATCTTACTGTAAGAATATTTTTACCTATTTAAATAAAATATAGGTACCTGGAACTTATATCCATTATTTTTGGTGTTAGTTTCTGTGGTAATATTTTCTCTGTAGCACACTGATAACCTCTTCCCTCAATTTTCTTCACACTGAAATTAAATTCCTTTTCAAATTCCAAATTAAGAGCCAATTTGGTTAAGGTAGTAAACTAGAAACTGGGGGACTGGGAGTTTTACAGATAGCTATAGACCTATAACGGCTAAGTTGAGACTGAAATTTCTGTCATTCTCTTAGATGAAAGTGCCTTACAGGGATACTGTGATGGTGTAAACAGGAGGGAGCATTATGCATACTGCCCTGGGTTGCACAAAATGAAATTGGTCTATAAATCCAATAAATCAACAGGCCTAGGGATTAGAATGTGCAACTATTAATTTGTTACAGGTTAGTGTGTTTATGTTGCTTTTAACTATTGTTAATTGCCCAGAGGCATAAACCTGAGATGAGTGGCCATATAAACTGAAAGAGTGAATGAGTAAATGAATGAATGCTCAATGCAGAGACATTAATAGAGATTCTTAGAATGTGAGTAGACAGCCAGTTGTGGACCTATCATATGGAGCCAAAATACACTTTAATGTCCCTAATACTGGCAGTGGATATGGAGAAAAAAATAGAAAAGGGCTGATTGGGAAAAACAAAGAAAAGCAATAGTCATACATACATTATATATATATATATAAATGGCTCTGTATGTATGTTCCAGCAGAACTCTGCAACGTCTCGAGCAATTTCAACCAAACGTGGTACACAGATTACTTACTCCCTGGAAACAAATGCTGTGGTGGTAAGACATCCCTAACACCCCTCGGGATGTGTCTGTGTGTGTTCCAGCATAACTCCGGAACACCTGGGCCGCTGAAATGAAAAGGACTGAATTATATCTATAGTGTCAAGTTACAGTACTTTTGACAGTGATAGTGTGCATTTTGGATTCAGGTTGTTAAGACCCAGCCTGTTATGCCTTAAAATGGCTTCTACTGTACAGCAGTGGAGTTGCCATGGTAATGGCTTTGCAGTACTCTACAAGGGGGCTCCCTCTAATACAGTTTTGGGATACATACATACCTGGGCTAGGCCAGGTCATCAGCTAGTTCAACATAAAAAGGATATTGAATATATGTAGAATTTCGGCAAAGAGTGGCCACAGGCTACCGCTCTGATTTTCTTAAATGTATTAGGACCTCTGGCCAAGACAGATCTCCGCCCCCCCACCTTTGGAGTCAGCTTGTTTCTATTGTCTCAATGAGACCTTCTCCCCATTCACCATGGTCAACCTGAGCTGCTGCCATTCATCACTCAAGGACGAGTATATGACTTACTGAATTAAAACAGAGATTAGAGTATCAAACATTAATCTTTTTTAATAACATTGTCTCTATAAAATGTTTTCGCAGTTTTTAAAAATGAAAAAGACAAAACATAACCCAATAGAAAAATATTTAACATTTAAATGCATCGGTAAATGTTTGTAATCACACCTCACCTCACAGTAGAATCAGTACCTTCTACTGAAATGTTAACTTTTAAAATTAGCTTCAGGTCCATAGTATAGTATTTACAGACATTCTTAAGAAATTAATATTCCATGCTAAACACCACAGATGAAAGTATTAAAGGAATCTGAATTCAGAGATTAAAGATATGTCTACAACTCATTAGTTCTTGTCATTTATGACAGATACCAGAGTTCTACTACTGTCCTGCTCATCAAATATACTTACATTTTACATTGTACCTGCACCACAGACATAAAGGCTTTTTGAGCTTTCCAGTTTTTGAATAAATATAAATACTCCCCTATGAAGAAAGGACTATATTTTGATATTGGAAGGGAACTATTCTTTTACTTATGGAATTAAAATGTATTTGTTCTGAAGTATCTATACTTCTGTAGGTAGTAGGTAGGGCAGTATGGATATGTAGCAAGGAACAAAATAGTGTGTGCGTGTAAAGAGAAACAACAAAGTACAATTTAAGAGACTTCGGTTGTCCGGAGTACATAAATCATGATTATGCATTTTAAAAGAGAGGAGTGATTTCTATCTATAAATGTAGTTATTATACAATTTCTGATTCTTAGAAAATGTGAGACCAAAATGATTTAAGTTCAACAAGTTGCACTGTTCAACAATTTAACCATCTTACCAAAATAGAGACTTTGAAAAACTGAAATTGTAAGCCACTTTTAGTTCATATCTAATTATATAGCATGCAATTTCTGCCACATTCAGAAGTTTTCTGTAAACTCTGTAAATGGTGAAACTTCTGTAAACATGAATGTTAAATATCAAACTTCTCAGGTTAGCAAATGGTAACTTTCATGAAAACAGCCTATAAAAAAGCACTTTAGATCCTATTTCAAGTAATAGAATTTGTTCTTCAAAGCTAAATCCTGTAACAAACTGCTCAAAATCTTGTGCCCAGAATATATTCTGCAAACACATGAACTGTCTTGAATGCCTGCATTCCAGTTTAAGGAATGTACAATTCAACAGAAAGCCATGCATGTTACTTTCATGTACAGATTTAGGCAAGTTCTCTCCAAAATTTTAATTTAAAAATCTAAACTACAGATCTATTTTTAAATAGGTATAAGAATAAATATTTCCAGCTTTGAGGAAGCCTGAAAGTGTTCCTTTCCAATTGTCAGGCCTAACAACTTGGTATAGCTTCTATACTATTCATCCACAAAGGATGCCGCTGCCATTGGAGATCTCATATTTCCTCTTGCTGAAGAAGTGAATTCTTCTATTTCAGCATTAAGTTTGCTGATTACCCATTCCAATGCTTCACGTCCCTGTGAAAACACACATTCTTGATTGAAACAAGTCCAAGTATCTCAGAGATCAAAGTAATTTGCAGAAATGAGACTGAATACATACATACATACATACATACATACATACATACATACATACATACATACATACAAACACACACATACACGTACTACTTTAACATTTTAAAACCGCTAGGTTAAAGGGTATAAAGTAGGGGTGTCAAACTCAAGGCCCGGGGGGCTGGATTCGGCCCATGAGGTACTTAAATCTGGTCTATGGGGTCGCCCTGGAAACAGCAAAGAACTGGCTCGCGGTACTTCTACCAGCAAAAACAGCTCCCAAACTCTGTTTTCAGATGCCACGGCCTCCTGCAACCCTCTGCCAATGAAAATGGAGCTTGGGAGGGCCACATGCTGGCAGAACGCTTGGGCCTCCACAGGCACCCCGATACAAGTGTCTTTGAGCCGGCCCTGTTTCCCCACCCCACAAAGGTCAAACACAACCTTGATGCGGCCCTTAATGAGAGTTTGACACCGCTGGTATAAAGTCTCTGTTGAATTCAGAATAAATTGTGATGGGCAATTTTTTTTTAAAAAAAAATGCTCTGTTTGCTCAGCCTTTTGGAAGCATTTAATTTATATTGTCTATTGATAGCTACCTTTTGTTTTTATCATGATACATTTTAATCATGGTGTGAATACCATGAATACCTTGAGACTCAGAAGAAAGGAAGGAAAGAGTCACACATAGTTATGGAAAAACAGATCAACCCAAAGGAAAAGCTACCCTTTGTAAAATGTAAAGGTGACCGGGAAAACTGACAAAAATAAAAGAAAGATATCACATGTGACTATCTTGCTGTTCAAACTAAATAGAGGTAGCTTAAATAGATAATATAATAGGAAGAATCTAAATTATGAAAAATTCCATTAGGCCAGAGTTTCTCAGGTTCTGTTGCCTCTTATACAGAATGGGCAAAAATTTTCTCAGGGAGCCACATGAGAAACTGGGATTGCTGTGGAGGGCTTCTGCTCCGCCCTCTGTTGCCACTGCCCCATCCATGTTGTAGCCGCCCTGCCTGTACCCACCACTGTGGCCCAGACAGGGACCACTCATGGGTTAGATGTAGCCCACAAGCTGTAAAATGCCCAGGACTGCTCCTACAGTGTAAATATTTGGGTTAAAAATTCAGTAACACACTTTTCAACATCATTCATTTACTAAAATATTATTTAGGAAGTCTATGTCTTGACATTCTGTATGGATGAATCTCTGTTACTTTTGCAAGAATGTTTCTGCTCTGACATTGTTAATTTTGATTGTAATGCTTGAATTAAGAAAAGATCCAGTTTTTTACCTCAACACTTCTTAAGATGATTGGGGTTAAATGTAATTTTTCGTAATACTCTTGTTATGTTTATCATCTATATCAGGGGTGTCAAACTCGATTTCATTGAGGGCCTCCTCAGGGTTGTGCTTGACCTTAGTGGGCCAGGGTGGGCGTGGCCAGATCAACATCACTTGTATCGGGGGGCGCATATGGTGGCCAGAGCACTCTATGAGCGAAAATGGGCTCCCAAGCTCCGTTTTGGCTGAGATGGTCTGCTGCAACCCTCTGCCAGCGAAAATGGAGCTGGGGAATGCCACACGCAGCCCTCCTAAGCTCCGTTTTTGCTGGCAGAGGCACTGAGGGCCGTTCCTTCATTTCCAAGGCGCCCCTCCCAGCCAGATCTAAGCACTCAGCGGCCAAATCTGCCCCCTGATCTATATGATCAATATTGTTATCATTTCAATTCTTGTAAACATTGATTTAAATGGCTAAAAGTGATGTATTATTGAAACAGATTCACAGTAAAAAAAAAATGTTGCAGGAGTCAATCTGTGTTGGTCATCAGGATCAGAGATGTAATCTCCCAAGCTTTCAGACTTGTGCTGGAGCCTATCCTCACGGAACTTCTCTCTCATTAGAACTTCCGTCTCATCACATTCTGGTAGAGAGAAGTTCCCTAAGGATAAGCTCCAGCACAAGTCTAAAAGCTCGAAGATTAAACCTCTAGTCCCGATGATTGACCTAGATTGTCCTGCAAGATTATCCAGAGACATGTATGTTTACTTTCATTTGTAAAAATATTCTGTGTTAATCCCACAAGTGAATTACTTTTATTTATTTTCCCTACTAACAAATGGAAGAGCAAAGAAATCATTCAGGGTATTTTTAAGTTTGAAGTAGGTAATATTCATAAAATATAACACAGCCATTAATAAGCTCATATTTTCATTCCATCCCAATTTATCATATTTTTCAGAGTATAAGACATACCAGAGTGTAAGATGCACCAAAATTTTGAAGAGGCAAATTAAAAAAAAAGTTTTTTACGCTGCAGACCTCACCAGAATGGCCTATTTTTTGTCCAAAAAAAGGGCATGCATAGCCTTTAGGAGGCTTGTATAGTGCTCCTGGGGGCTTCGCTCATTTTTGCCCTCCCCAGCCCCCAGGAGCACCCTGGAAGCCTCCTAAAGACTATGCATGGCCATTTTTGCAAAGGGGGCAGGGTTTCGGGAGGCCAAAAATGCTGTACTCAGTGTATAAGACGCACCCAGATTTTCACCCTCTTTTTTGAAGGAAAAAGGTGTATTTTATACTCCGAAAATACGGTATCTACTCTTCTCTCCTGTCTTGTCAAAATAAGTTGGCAATACATACTTTTTTGGCATTAGAAGAAATTGTGTTTTCCATTAGTCCTTCTAAGTAACTGCTGAGACTAACTCCTTTTACACAGATGGTTGCTTCTTGAGTCAAAATAGTTCTGTAGGGGAAAAATAACAAGTTTATCCATTTATTTCTCAAAAAGTAATCAGGAGCTACTTTTGTTTTTCCTATGTCTATAAAAAATTCTACATATTACAACTACCAATCAATTTTCACAGGGATAGAGTGTTCACCGATACCCTAAGCTAGTAGGGAATGGGCAATCAATAATCTCAGAATTGCTTTAAACCATAGGATATGGGTATGCATTTCTGTATTTCTGGCTCTTGGAATTCCTTCTGACAAAGATTACTGAAAAGAGTAGTTTTCTGCCATAATAATATATAGTACAGGTAGTGCTTGACTTATAACCATTCATTTAGTGACTGTTTGAAGTCACAATGGCACTGAAAAGTGATTGATGACTTTTTCACACTTACAAGAATCACGGTGGCACAGTGGTCAGAATGCAATATTGCAGGCTAATTCTGCCAACTTCCAGGAGTTTGATTCTGACTGGCTCAAGGTTGACTTGGCCTTCCATCCTTCTGTGGGTGGTAAAATGAGGACCAAGATTGTTGGAGGCAATGTATTGACTCTGTCAACCACTGAGAGGGCTGTAAAGCACTATGAAGCAGTATATAAGTCTAAGTGCTATTGCTACAACCATTGCAATATCCATGTGGTCATGTGATCAAAATTCAGGTGCAACCTATGATGGTTG